CCGCCGCTAGGACCTGGGAGACTGCGCTGGTGTCCGCCCGCTTGGACGAGGTGACCGGGGCGGGGCGGGGCGACTGCTGCAGCGCCGCCCGGCGCGGAGGGGCCTCCCGGGGGCGCGGGCACCGCGTTTCTCCGTAAGACGAAGGGCGGCCGGGTCGCGCGCGCCCGGGCAGTGAGGCCGACGGGCCACAGCCAAGCCGCTTCGCGAGCTGGGCCGCGGCCTCGCGCGTGTTGTACCTGCCTAGCCACCAAGCGTCGCCCCCCGCGCTCGGTGCCTGGCAACGCGCCAAGGTTCAGCTGGGAGCGAACTACTGTCAGCCGGTGCAGGGCCAACTTTGATGGAGGCGCTGAAAATGAGCAGCTATAATTTTTCTACTTGAGAGGACGTAGTTAAAAGGTGCTTCCCCACCTTTCGTTTCTTTCTTTTTAGTGTGTGTGAAAGGCTAAAAGCATATTTAGGTTACCCAGCTGCATGGGAGCAATGTCAGTCCAGTAAATCTTAATTTGACAGAAAGAATTTGACTTTGAACTACTGCCTCAGTGTAGCAAACAGTAATATTTGCCTAGCATGCGTTTGCCTAGCGCTGCTTTTGCAAGTTGGACAAATGAATTTGGCTTTTCTGTTCCTTGGGTCACTGATGTGGCGCCCTTAAGTGACCTTTTCTGAAGCACAAGTAGCTCTGATAGTTGTAAGGACTCTAAAATAAAACAGGCCATTCTAAAACTAGCCCAACAATTTGCCAGTAAATTGTGTGGATGCTAAGGTCTCTTTTATGTACATACTTTAAAAGAGTGCTTTTAGTATTGGGTATTTCATCCAAAATCAAACACAATTACTTTTTAGAGTAGATGCAGCTCCACAAGACTGAAATCCACCATTTTGCTTATTTGGTCTCTGACCTTCTTTGCTCTGAACCTGCTAATGAGACATAAGAAGGCCAGTCAGTGATTCTTCTGCTACTGCAGTGGCTACTGTGATACGGATGCTATCCACTGAAATTTTGCAAAGCCCATCTATAAACTTGTTTCCTGTACAACTGTCCAATAACCATTACTAGACTAGCAGTAACCACAAGGCCATACTTTCTCTTGTTGTAGTCCTTCATCATGTTCACTGTACGCTCTCCAGTTTCTGCAAAGCAGGAGCAAAGGGTCCTACAACATGAATCCAGTTATAATCTGGCTATGTGTCAGTCAGAGCTAGTGAGTTCTCTTTACAGTTAGGGCTGTGTGAAACAGCACCATTTCGTTTTGACTTCCGTTTCGCTGTTTTTACGGAACAGTGTTTTGTTTAGAGTTTTGTTTAGTTTTGAAAGCACTGTTCTGTTTCGTTTCATTGAAACTGTGTCGCTGTTTCGACACTGTTTCGACATTTCACCCATAGGCTATAATGGGGAAGCAGGAAACTACCTATAACTTTGTCATTTTTTGGGCAGATTTGGATGAAAACAGCAGGGATGGTAGACGCTTCTGAGGGCATGGAGCCTGCCAAGCCTGCATAGATAGGTGTAGGGGTTTCTGGGAAACTGAACTTCAAAGTCTTGAAAGCAAAACTCGTACCACTTGTAAGTGTGAAGGAAAAGGGGATTGAAAACAATAGGCGTGGTAGCCCCTGCTGAGGCCATGAAGCCTGCCAGGTTTCAAGGAGATGGTGCAGGGGTTTCTGGGAAACTGCACCTCAAGCTGCTGACAAGCAAAACTCGTGACTTGACTCTGTGTGTGTGTGTGTGTGTGTGTGTGTGTGTGTGTGTGTGTGTGTGTGTGTGTGTGTGTGTGTGTTAAGGCGCGCCCTCACTGGTGGTGGGGCCTCTACACGATTCAGTAGTGTGCCACAGTCTCAGCCCAGTCCACTAATTTAAATGACAGCAGGTAGTAACTTAGTAAGCAGCACAGTAGCATCAGCAGCATCTCAGGCAGCCCAACAGTCATAGTCAATATCATAGCAGTCCCCTTCCTCCCTCTTCCCCCTCCCTCTCCTTACCTTTGAGGTGGAGGTGGAGGGGCTGCAGCCTGGTGCACTCGAGGGTCACGTGTCCCAGGGTTTCCCACTGCCCAAAGAGGGGCAGGAGACCAGGGTGTCCAGGAAACTTGCCACATACATGCCGGTGGCGATGGTTCCATGGAGGAGCCACCAGCTGAGGCCCCCAGTGGCTCGTGGGATGAGGGTGGAGTACAGATTCAGCCACTGGGGTGTCCCACCCATGCCCTCGCCGAGCAGGTCCCACCACTTGGTGTCTGGACGAGACACAAGGGTGTCATGATGGATAGTGTGGTGCACAAGCATGTAGAGGTGGTAGCGATGGACGGTGGAAAAATGGACCGGTCTGCTGTCCTCCAGCTGGCTCAGGTGGTGCAGTGGGGAACTCCATGAAGCCGGGTGAGGTGCCAGCCCCACGACAAACTCTGGTGTGCTGGAGGACACGGCAGGGCAGGGACCACCGCCATGCAGGACCTGGTCAACAAAGGCAAGGGCATCAGGAGGTAGGGCAGATTTCATCTCCTGGACCAGACGGCAGGTTGCAAGTGTCATGGGTAGACCCATGTGCCGGGCCAGTGCAGTGGGGTCCACCCACTCCTGCCCATGGTAATCCAGGAGGTCTCCAGTACGGGTGATACCAGCCAGGATTAACCTATGTTGAAACCTGGGCACCTCTGTTGTCAGCACCTCCAGCTGGGGGTTCCAGAGGAGGGGCTGGACGAGCAGGTTGGCACCCTGGGCAACTGTTGCAGGGGACTGGGAAGAGGAGACCAGCTTCCAGGCCTGGAGGAGGTCCTGGTAGAAATCTGGCAGCCCTTGCAGGTCTTGCAGGGAGAAGCCGTGCAAGCTGAGGAGCTGCTAGTCGTATTGGAGCCCCTGGAAGTGGCAGAGCAAAGCGTGCCCCAGGTGGCCCCATGCCATGTGGCTACTGACACTGTATAGCAGTCGCTGCAGGCAAAATACCAGGACCTGGCTATGCAGGCAAACCAGATCCTAGCTGCCCTCCCGCAAGGGAAGGCTCAGGATCTCTGCAGTGACCTAGTGCCATCCTGCCCAGAAAAACTTCAGCACTCATCTCTGGAGTCCCACCAGGACCTCAGGGGGCACAGGCAGGGTGTGTAAGCAGTGCCAGAGCATGGACAGGACCAGCTGATTCAGCACCAGCACTCTCCCACACAGGGAGAGACACCTCAGAAGCCCTGCCCATGCCTGGAGCCAGCCCACCACCCTTGCCTCCAGCTGGTGCCAGTTCTCCGGCAGGGAGGGATCTGTGGGGGACAGGTAGACCCCCAAGTAGACCAACGAGCCCATGCTCCAATGGATCCTGCGGAGCACAGGTGGAAGTGAGCCCACCTGCCACCCATCACCCACCACCAGGCCAAAGCTCTTCACCCAGTTGACCCGGACAGAGGAGGCCACTAAGTACAATGCCTGGCAGGCCTCCACCTGTGCCAGGTCACCTGAGTCCTGGACCACAAGGAGTACATCGTCAGCATACACTGACAGTACCATCTGCACTGCTGGCTCCCAGAGCATCAACCCCGCCACCCGCTTCCACAGGAGAATGAGGAAGGGCTCCAGGGCCAAGACGTACAGCTGGCCTGACAGTGGGCAGCCTTGACACACCCCTCTCCTGAATGGGATGGGGTCTGTCAGGGTCCAGCTGAGCTTGACCAAACACTCTGCAGAGGTGTACAGTACCTGGAGAGCCCGCACAAAGCGGGACCCAAAGCCAAAGGCCCACAGTGTGCCGGTGAGGTTCCTGTGATCCACTCTGTCAAACGCCTTCTCCTGGTCCAGGGATAGGAGGGCAAAAGACAGGCACTTCTGACATGCTAACTCCAGGAGGTCCCAAACCAGGTACAGGTTATTGAAGATGGAATGTCTGGGCACCGCGTATGTCTGGTTGGGATGGATCACGTCCATCAGCACAGACTGCAGGCGCAGCGATATGGCCTTTGCTGCCGTGTTGTAGTCTATGCAGAGGAGGAACACGTGATGCCAATTCCTCAGGTTGCAGAGATCACCCTTCTTTGGCAGGAGGGTCAGCACAGCCCTCCAGTACAACAGGGGGAGCTCCCCACTTCCTTTAGATTTGGCCCAGACTGCAGCAAGATCCAAGCTGAGGATGTCCCAAAAGGCCTGGTAGATCTTCACAGTCAGCCCATTGATGCTTGGCAACAAGGCACTGCGTGTCAGGCAGAGGGCAACCAAAAACTCAACCACAGCATGAGGAGCTTCCAGCCAGTCCCAGTTGCCCACGCTGATCTGAGGGAATCCCTCTCACAGGGTCTGACAGACTTCAGCATCAGTCAGATCCAGGGAGAAGAACTCTTCATAGAAGGCCTGCGCTGGCGCATCTCACCTGGATCCATGAGGGGGGTGCCATCACCTGCCAGAAGGCAGCTGATGTACTTCTTGGCCCCCTGCCTCCTCTCCAGGGCACAGAAGAAGCGGGAGCCATGGTTCATCTCCCGAAGGAGCTGGATGCATAAGCGGATAAATGCATCGCAGGCGCAGTGGTTGTCTAGAGCATGAAGCTCTTCCCGCCTCTCCCAACACTCTCCACAGAGGGACAGGTTGGTTGGGTCAGTGGCCAGGCACCTCTCCAGCTCTAGCACTTCCTGCTTGAGCTTCTGCGGGGGCCGCCTCCTTCTGCTGGGTGTGCCCCTGAGCGTAGCTGCCGCAAAAAAGCCGGATGCACACCTCCCCACATCCCACCATCTCCTAGCTGAGGGGAAAGCTGCCTATTGCTCCTGCCAGGCTAGCCAGCACTCCTGGAAGGTCTCCCTGAAGCCCACATCCTCCAGCAGACTGTCACTGAAATCCCAGTAGGCCAACCCCAGATGCCCAGGCCCTAGCATGGCCTGGGCCCAGACAATGTGGTGATCTCTGAAAGGGGTCGGCTGGATGCCAGAGGAGTAGGCCCGGGTAAAGTGCGGCAAAGAGATATAAACCCATTCCAACCAAGAGTGGCATGCCTGCACTTCCCCCACCCTCACACAGGTGAAGGCAGGGAGGTTGGTAGGGTGACAGGCACGCCAGATGTCCACCAGGGAGTACTCTGTCAGGA